ACAATCCCTGTCACATAATAGGTACTTAATGTATGTTCTTTCCCTTCCCCTTCTTCCCTCCCCATGCTATTCTGCACACTTTGTTGTTGTGTCCTTTTTCAGTCATGTCTGACTCTGTGATGCCATTTGGGGTTTTCTTGGCAAAGATAGTGGACTCATTTGCCATTTCCTTCTCTAGCTCATTTTACAGATGAGAAAAATGAGACAAACAGGGTTAAGTAACTTGCTTAGGGTCACACAGCTAGTAAATGTCTGAAGCCAGATTTGAACTCAACAAGATGAGTCTTCCTGACTCTAGGGCCCCTGCTCTATCTACTGCATCTCCTAGCTGCCCATTCTACATACTATGCTATTGGCAGCTCTCAAGATGGAACTGGAAGAGGCCCCAATTCAACTCCCTTATTTTGTCAAAGAAAGAACCGAGACCCAGGAGTCACCCAGCTAGTAACTACGTAACAAGGATTCAAACCTAGATCTTCTGAATCTGGCACAATTCTCTTTTCTGTCCACCACAATTATGGCAATGTCCCTAGTTCTTCCTAGATTGTTCCATTCCATGAATTTCAATTCCATGAAACCTATAGATGTATAAATGGAGCAGTAGTCCAAAAGAGTAAGGTCAGAAAGGGTGAAGACAGGATAGTCACTTCTTTATTAGTGAAATTGGGAATAATTAATGTGTATTAGGGCAGAGGAAGGAAGATGACACAGAAACACAGCAAAAAGAGTTTCTTCGGATGATAGAAACGTCATCAGACATGAAGACTGGAATCTTGATTCTGCCATAGACTCATTGGATGACCTTGGGCACAAATTACTTCACCTGGATATCCTCAGTTTCTTTATCTATAAAATGAGGGGTTTGAATTGGGTGATTTTCTCAGGCCCATTTCAGTTTTAATACTCTAAGAGTCTAAATTATATTATTCCCTGGTGCCTCCTTAACTTAATTGTGATGGATCATGACCTAGATTGATGTTATCATAGATTTAGAGCTCTAAGGAGACCCAAAAGTCATCTAGTTCAACACCTTCATTTTATAGATGAGGGGACTGAAGTCCAGAGATTCAGTAACTTATCCCAAATCATACAGAACATTTACTGAGTCTGTTATAATGGGCATTCTTTTTGTATGTGAATCGTGCTAGCTGGCCACTTGGGTTCTTTGGGCTTCTGTGGTTGATATAGATCTAGGGTATTCTGAGTCCAGGTCCCACCCTCTTGTTACTATACCAAAATGTTACCAGCTCCTCAGCAAGAAATCAGAAGGTGCAAACGTTGATGAGACTGTCCCCCCCCCTCCACTCCCACTCCCAATCATTGAGCATGTGAGCCAGGGTTGGGGGGATGACTCTGCTTCTTTTAGTGATCAATCTATTCTCTTATCAAAATCCAGCCCATAAACACCAAATCTTAGGTTATTTGTTTGGTTTTTTAACTAAGGATTTGACCCAGACAGTGGTTGTGCTATCATTATTGTATAGATAAATGTGGTGATATGTATGTGTATATATTTAAATATATTTAAACATTATATTTTACTATAGATTCTATTTATTTTTATATAACTATTATATTTAAATGTACCATACATATATGTTTATGTATTTGTGCACATACGTGCTATGTGTATATATGCGTGTATACACGCATGTCTATACAGATGTATATACATGTGTATACGTATATACCCACATGTGCCTGTATACATATGTGTATATGCATATGCACACATATGTATACATGCACACATGAATTGTCCATTTCATATCATTATTGGAGAGCAGTTACAATTTACCATGTAATCTATAGTGGACAGTATCCAGCAGGTAGTGTTCTGTTAACTCTTACTAAGTAAGTATTATTAGACCAGTTGTTCCTTGGAAAGAAAAATATTAATCCTGATTTAGTGAAGTGTGTTCACAGGATCTTTATTATATGTGTCACATGAAAATTAAACATGTTTCTGCCACCATTTGGAAAACTCAGAGACAGACAAATGTCATTGATGGCTCATCTTCCAGTACTTCTTGTAGCCATTTAAATAGGGATTTAAATGTGATTTTGGTGTTGTTGTTCTACCTACCTTCCCCGGTTGTTGTGAGGATCGAATGAGATAATATTTTTAAAGTACTTTGGAAGCCTAAAAGTGCTATCTAAATGCTATCTGATATTATTACCATAAATAAGGAATGCAAAACACTTCAAAAATGTTGAAGAGCTGTGTTGTCTAAGTGTCAGTAATCATATTGATCTTATTATTAATGAAGTGGCCTGGACCAGCCTTTTCTTAGTTCAAGAGTTCTTGACCTTTTTAAATAACGTAGGCCTCCTTTGGTAGTCTGGTGAAGTCTATGGGCCCTTTTTCAAAATATTGTTTTTAAATGCATAATACATAAAAATATATGATTACAAACTACATGATTACAAGACATATATTACAAAAATATATGTGATTATAATATATATATATATATGATTACAAATTGTATATGATTACAAGTTATATTAAAATCTAATTCTCAATATGTTAATGGACCCCCTGAAATCTACCGACAGACCCCCGCGGGGTCTGTGCACTCCAGGTTAAGAACCCCTTCCATTAATTATACTCTAAGCCAATCATATTCTTGGCTAATCTCTTGCTACATAATTTAAATATACCAGGCCAGGTATTCCTGCTGAAAGTATACCTTTTTATATAGCATAATAACTGCTCTAGAGAGTCAGCCTGGCTTTGTAGGAAGAGCTAGCCTCAGAGTCATGAAGACCAGTTGGTTCAATTCCCATCTCTATCACATATTGGAGATATTTATATCTGTCTGTCTATCTATCTATCTATCTATCTATCTATCTATCTATCTATCTATCTATCTACCTATGTGTATTTATATATCTAGATATAGATATACATGTACATATAAATATGTGTGTATCTCTATGTGTATATATGTCTATATGTGTTTGTATATGTAGGTGTATGTATGTCTACACGTGTGGGTGTATATGTATGTATGTGTGTGTGTCTATATGTCTATATATTTGGGTATGTATATATCCATATGTGTGTATATGGCTATGTCTATGTGTGTGTGTATATGTCTTTAATACATATGTATGTGCATATATATATATATAGGTATGTCTATATGTATATACATATGACCCTTGGTAAATCATTAATCTCTCAATGCTCTAAATAACTGTCCAAGATTGTATAAGTTGTAAAGATGTTCTTTTGGACTGATAGAGAGAGACCCTTACTAGGAGCTCCCTATACCAATAAAATCACAAGCCAAGTAAAAAAAATTCAATTCAATAAAATGCCCCCTGGACGTTGTTCATGACATTTCTCACATAGGTCTTTGCAGGACACACGTCGCACTTCCCTCCCCACATCCCTCATCCAGGCAACAGCCTTCTCCTTGCTACCCACTGCATCATGTCCTCTCTCTGGGATGGCACTAATAGGTGGGTTTTGCTATGCTTCAATTTCTCCTTGTTCACCCTCTCTTTTTCTCTGTGTTACTCAGCAAGACAGATCACCAGGGGAATTTCTGTCATGGTCAAGTCAAGTACTTCTTGAGGAAGGTCTCTTTGTAATGTCTGTCCCTTGCCTTTTTTTCATTCCTTCCTCAAGGAAATTTGAAAGGGAACATGAAGGTGGGCATGTGTGTGTGTGTGTGTTACTATTAAAGCTATAATTTTTTTTTGAGTCAGAGAGGGCTAGATTACAGCCAGCCCTTGTCCGAGGGTTGTCTTTCTTCCCTCCTGCCTCTTAGAAGCCAAGGCTGTCTATCCTGTAGTCATGACAGTAATGTGCCATGGTGTCAGAGAGCTGCATTGTGTAGCTCCTTGTCTCCGTACTAAGGTAATTGGCCTGTTGTTTCACTTGTTCCTGTTGTCACAGCATATTATTCTTGCCCCCAAGGAGCAGATGCTCTCCCTGTTCATTATAATTACTGCTTTTTTTCTGTTCTTGGGTGATATGGATACTTTCTGAAATGATGGCGATCCATCTTTTAATAACGCTATTTATTTACCCAATCAGCGATGTAATACATATTTACGTGTGGAATGCCTTTACCTATCAGATCCTCTAAAAACGTGTAATTGAAACATAAATAATGGGCCCATCTATTATGGAACTTACAGTCTGGTTTTATACAAACAAAGGTTTATGACAATGGGTTGAAAAGTCTCTGCAATTATGTACTAGGGCTCAGCATACACACACACACACACACACACACACACAGATACACACACAAACACACACACACACATGCATACACACATACATACACATACTTTTGGAAATAGATGAGTATGTGTTGACTGTTTTACGTTTCCAGAAGTGTTCTGAATATCTTTCCAGTTGTTGGGATTTTTACTGTGTGGCACTTTATACGTGGGGGGAAATGTTAAAAATTTTGTAAAAAAAAATTCAAAAATAGTCATGTTATATCATAGTCAAAGATAGCTGGCAATTTTATAAAATGCTAGTTATAACAATAGCAATAATAACTATAATTAATTATTATGAAAAACTAAGTTTTAATTTTAGCATTTTCTACAGTATTTCAGTCATTTTTCAGTCGTGTCTGACTCTTTGTGACCCCATTTAGGGTTTTCTTGGCAAAGAACTAAAGTGGTTTGCCAATTCCTTCTCCAGCTCATTTTGCAGATGAGGAAACTGAGGCAAACAGGGTTAAGTGACTTGCCCAAGGTCACACAGCTAGGAAGTATCTGTGGCCAGATTTGAACTCAGGAAGACTAATCTTCCTGACTTCAGGCCTGGCACTCTATTCACTGTGTTACCTAGCTAACCCCAATTTGAGAGTGTAAATAAGGCAAATGGAAGCAAACAGGATTGACATGGAGAATGACTGGCCCATGTCTGGATTCATATTTTTGGTGACCTGTTAATGTACCTCAAGTTTTGCTTTGAGGAGTTCAATCCTTTTTAAAAACCCAATCTTTGGGCTTTTCTCCTTCAGATTGAGGAAGACACGTGGCAGAAATACTACTTGGAAGGAGTCTCCAATGAAATGTATACAGAATATCTTTCTAGTGCCTTCGTGGGTCTGTCCTTCCCTACAGTTTGTGAGTAAGTAGAAATCATCTGTTTGCTCTTTGATTCTCAAGTGAAATGCAAGGTTCATGGTTAGTTCAACTCTGCAGAGAATGATCAATTACTCAACAATTGTTACTGACCTTCTTCTGTGTATAGCTCAGCACTGAGCTATGCACCGTATGTATGATGAGATGGGTTGGGAACACAGAGGATGAGACCTGGTCTTTCCCCTTTAGTAGAAGATGATAATCTAGTTGAATAAATAAAACAACCACACATGGAACCACATGAAACAATACAACACAGAGTATATTTAAGTGCCCAATTAAGATTTCAGTGGCCAGGGTTTTCAATGAGTGGACTTCAGATTGAACATTAGAACTCCTATGATTATAAATATGATGGAAGGCGAAATTTGAATTGGGCTTTAGAAATTGGTTTGGAGTTCAACATGAGTAGGTAAAAGAAGGCGGAGGGAATGAGAAAACTGAGTGAGGAAAGGACATCTGTGGCTCGTTCTTCCTGTGCTAAACTGACCTATTTGTGGGGTAAGAATAGAAGGAGATGTGGTTAGAGAGCAGTTCTGAAAGACACTGGGTCTTAGTGGCCTTCAAGCTCAGTATGAGACAGTAATTTAATATGGTAACCAAAAAGCCAAAATTGATAGACTGCATGAAGAGAAACATCATGTTTTCATAGCCAGGGCAAGTAATGGTCTTGCTATCCTCTGCCCTATTTTTTTACATCTGTAAGGCAGTGACAGGAGCGACATCTTTGAAGGGATGTTGAGCATTCAGAAGAGGGATGCTAGGTAGGTAAAGGGGCTTAAGACCATGTCATATTGAGGATCAGTTAAAGGAAATGGGCATATTTCAAGATGAACAGTTTGGAGTCTTTGTTATTGGAAGGAAGAAGGAATAGACATGTTCTACTTAGCCCCAAAGAGATGTGCTTAATAGAGTAGACTTGGATAAAGCACCAGTCCTGGAGTCAGGAAGATCTAAGTTCAAATCCAGCTTCAGACATTTACTAGTTGTTGAACCCTCGTAATTCACTTAACCTCTGTTTGCCTCATCTGTAAAATGGAGAAAATGATAGCAACTACCTCTCAGGATTGTTGTGAGGAGCAGAGGAGATAATAATTATAGGATACTTAGCGCAGTGCCTGGCACATAGTAAGCACTATTAAAATGTTAGCTGTTATTAGCTATTATTATTGATTAGCCCCAGAGGACACATTTTCAGACAATGAATGGGATGGAAGTTGCTGAGAGGCAAATTCTGACTTGATTTAGGGGGAAAATAAATCCTAGCAAGTAAAACTATTCAAAACTAGAATGAGCTGCCTCATTGTGGGGTCTTTAAAGAATGTTTGGGTGACCATTTGTCGTGCATGCTATAGAAAAGATTCTTGGTCACATATGGGTTAGACCAGATGGCTTCTACCCTCCATTCCAATTCTGGCGTACTGTGATTCTAAGGAATAGATTTTACTGGAGGAGGGGGATGTACAATGCATTATTATCTAGGCAGCTAAAATGTCAATGAAAGAAAAGGGGGAACCCTAACACTATGCTAAAGGAGGCATGCAGAATGATAGATAGCTGAAGGAATTACAGACAGACTTGGCCCCTTTCGTAACTGTTTTCCCAAGAAAACAATCCAGGCATGAGGGTGGGTCTTCTGCCTTAGGGTTCTTTGCAACAGCCACAGGTAGGAAGACTCTCAAAAGCTTATCACAATAAATCCTTTTGGCCTTGAGAATCCCAAGAAGTGATTCAGGGATGTAGAGATGTGGGAGAGCAGAGGTGAGAGACCTAAGTCCTTTGTCAGAGACTGAGTCCTAAGCAACTAGCCCCACTTAAGCTGCTTCTCAAAATTCATCTTCTTGACTAGAGAGCCAAAAACTTAAATTCTAAATGGCCTCAGAAAGGAAGTGGGCCAATGATTTGGAAAGAGTCATGCTCTTTTTTTTTTTTTAGTGAGGCAATTGGGGTTAAGTGATTTGCCCAAAGTCACACAGCTAGTGTTATGTGTCTGAGCCCACATTTGAACTCAGATCCTCCTGACTCCAAGGCAGGTGCTCTATCCAGTGTGCCACATAGCTGCCCCAAAAGAGACATACTCTTGAAATTGATACCGTATAAAGATTTTTTCAGCCAAAAACAAGGTTTATTAAAGCTCTGCCATATTAGCCAGAGTCTTAAGGAATCTGAGCATATGTGAGCTATTGACTAGATTGTAAAAATCAGAGCAGTGGTTAGATTTTAGGAATCTGAGCACCTTTATGGAGATAAGATGGACCTTATTATACACATTAAGGCTATGGGAGGGATCTAGGAGTGGCCAAGTAGTCTATGGGGTAATAGAATTCCAGGAACCTGGACCACATGGCCAAGGGAGAATGGAGCCAAGGAAGTGGCCTGGGGCCATAGGGAGGTCCACAATGAAAGGCCAGTTAATGGGATTATAGCCTTAGGGGAATGCCAGAGATTTGGCCTTTTGGGAAAGTCCAGGGTTTGTCCTGGTCTAGCTCCCATCCTCATCATTCCCCCCTCAAACAAATGGGACCCAAATTATTTTGGAGTAAAGGGTGAAGGTCTCGTTTTCTGAAACTGCTTCCTGCTGGCATGGGGCGTAGAGCTGTCCCTGACTCGAGGGGATCCCAAAAAGGAGGTTGACTGGAACCAAGCACAGGCTGCATCCAGGAATTGATGGGGATGTTAGCTGGTACCCAATGTTTGCTGGCCTATAGTCTAGAAGACACAAATCTGACAGAAAAGACTGCAGGGCCCAGATATGACTGGATAAAACACCCTTAGCTCTATTTGGATTCAGATAAGTTTTCCAACCATGCACCTCATAGCCAGACTCAGGAATAGCCAGGTAGGTAACATTCCTTTTCAAAAGAACATAATGGGGAACCTGAGCCAGGAAGATCCCATTTTAGACTGAGGCTATGTCCTCTCAGCTTTTTCCCAATGCTGACTTCCCTGCAGTATCACATTCTCTCAGAGTAGTTTGTGGCATTTCTCAGATGGTGAATTATTGATTATCGATGGATTATTATGATCCATCAGACAACTCAAAATAAAATCCTAGGAGCTTTTACCTTAAACAGCAAGTTTCATTAATCAGAGCTTAGGAAAAACTTTTCCAGGATTTACATCTCAAACTTAAATTTGTCCTGGTATAAAAAGCCAGTCATTAGATATTTCTATACACTTGCAAATTCTCAGCAAGCCATAATCCAAACAAGCTTTTTGGCTAGTTTACACATCAAAACAATAACCAACAATAGCCAAATTATGTTAGTGGTAACCAAATTATGAAAAGTTGCTTGATATAACTGATACAAAAAGTTCACCAATTTGAAACTTGAAATGAACCCATTACCAATCAGGTAACTTCAGTTTTGTCAAATGCATTTCAAAATTACTTTACACAGAGAATCAACATCTCATCACTGACAGTTAAAACTACAAATTTAAAAAAGCATGCTTACCCAAGTTCTGAGGCTAGCTTCATTACCTTGAGCAGGATTTGCTGAACCTGGGTGATGCTTCCAGGCAAAGGTTGCCCTAGGGCCCACAGTGTGTCTGCTGCCCCTCTCCTTCCTTTCACAGTTTGGTAGGGCAAAATCAAAGGTGAGGAGTAAAGGGTGAAACTCTCTTCCATGAGAGGGATTAACAGATACCCTCTTGACTCAAGTGAAGGGAGAGAGAAAAAAGTGACTAGGGTTGTAAGGATGTGTTTCAAAACTCCTTAATGATCAAGCACAAAACCTGCAGAATCTGCCAAGATATTTTCAGCTGTTCTAACTTTTCCCTGTAACCTCCATGAAGGAGGATTCAGGGATGTAGAGGGAAGGGAGTAAATCAGTCTCAGGCAACCAAAAAGCAACTGCAGTTTTCTCTAATTCTCTAGTGCTGAGAAAATTAACAGAATTGGGCATACACTTCCAGATAGGGTGTCTGTCCTTGTTCTCTATGCTGCAGAAGGTGTACCCAGGTCCATGGCCTTGAACCAACCCAGTGGACCGAGAGCCTGAGAGTGTCAAGCTGAGTGCAAGACAGCCTCTTAACTGTCTGCCCAAAAAGCACCTCCAAGCCTTGGTGCTTGGAGAGTGACCCCAACTGCATAGTAAGAAAGGGGAGGGGGGAGGTTTACCTACCTTCCAGTCTTGGCTAGAGAATAACTTGAGGTTAGGCAGTTTCCCTGTACAGGCCACCAAAATGATGAGGTTTAGGGGTTTAAGGGTGCTGGGAACCCAATATCATAACACGTGGGTCCTGTCCAAAAGAATTCAACCCAAGCCTTCTTTCAGCCAAAGGCAAAGTTTATTAGAACATCCATCATGTTGGGCAGACTCTTAAGGAGTCTGAATGTTAGTGAGCTATTGGATAGATTATAAGAATCTAAGCAGTGGCTAGATTTTAGGAATCTGAGCCACCGTATTCCTTCTTCAGTGTGACTCATCTTTTGACAGATATTTGTCTCAAAGAAACACAAATTAAATGATCAGAGAAAATGGAAATTGGGACCCCAGGTATTTAATAGTTCAAAGTCTCCTGCCAACAATCCATATATAACATACTCTTTCTCAAAACTCCTTTTAGCAGCTTGTCAGCTCCCTTAAAATCTCACCCATCCTGCACTAAAAATTGTAATATTGTTGTACCTTGCCAAATAGAGGATTGCTTTATATCGTAGAAGCAAGAGAGAGCCACTATTGATCAAGGGCATGATTTAGGGAGATCATTTTGGCATATGTGTGATAGATGGATTGAAAAGAGACTTGAGGTAGGGGTACAAATAAAAGGCCTATTGCAATAGTCCAGGTGAGATGGGATGAGGATGTATATTAGGGTGGTGGCCATTTGAATGTCAAGAAGTAGACAGATACAGACAAAGAGATAGAGATACAGTGATTGAATAGATTTGGCAATATGGAGGAGTGATGGGAGAGGAAGAGTTAAGAATGGCTCTGGGATTTCAAATCTGTGTGACTGGAAGGATGGTGGTGGCTTAAC